TTTGCCACACAAATTCAAAGGGAAGGTCAAAGATAACTGGCAGGACAGTGCTATTAGGGTATGGTCAGCAGGATGCGTTTCCTTACAGAGCAGAAACGCGTGGTGAAAGTCTCCAACACAGCCACACTGGCTTCATCTGTGCAAGCACAAGCCATGCTGTCTTGTAACACAGAGACCAACGATTATAACTGTTAGAAGATACAGCAGTAAGTGACAGTCTAGGATTCACTGCTTGATTTATTACTCCTCTTTTCAGCCCTGCTGTAACCATATCTCAGAGTCATGAAAGTTACAGTGTCTCCTATTATTTAATCAACCTTCAGTTCCTTTAGACAAGTCTTAATCAGGCCCTTGGAGAAGTGCCAGTCTTGCACAGTGTCTGGATTCAGTATCTTAAAGAGACAAACCTGACAGAACCATGTTTCAAAAACTATGTCAGACAGTTCCTCTCATTATTTCCAGTGAAAATTTAAGATCCAGATATTTTCTAATAAGGACGGGAACATGGGCAATATATGCTTTATTTTTCCCCTCATTCAACAGTGACCAATCATGTGGACAGAGCAACAGCTTAAACACACTTGTTAAACTGCCTAGATCAGTGCTGCCAGCAGCTACTCCTACTGATTTATGATACGTTCCACTGACGTGTGAATGAAACACCATAAATTAAGTTTTTCTTCTGTGTTACCACTGTTCCTGCACACCTAAAAGTAGCAGCAAGTTCATACACATCTCCCACAAAGGACCAGAACTCCAGCCACGTAAAACAGAACCTCAAGTTCCAACCTACTTGGTGACTGGCTTACACTGGGTTGTTTCACATGCTCTTTCAAAGAACAGTAACATCTTCAATAGTTTTCCCTCCTTTACCTAGATAAAAGGCCATCTTCAGATGACATTCATGCATCTCCCCTACCACCAACCTCTGTCTTTCAAAATATTTATAGATAAGCACAGACTCCACCCCTTGAGATCCAAGCTTTGTGTAGACACTTAAATGGAGCTTCAGGCATGCTACTGAGATGTCATACAAAAAACCTGTGACAGACCAAGACAGGATTTAAACTGTATGTAAAAGCTTTTTGTGCTTGAATCCACACCACCTTTCAGCATCCTCAACAGTCCCAGGCATTCAAAATTTGCAGGATAGTTGAGCTAGTATTGTGCTTGAAATCCATCACTTCACATGTTCCACTCTGTTATTTTATCAATCATTTAATTACATCCTTCTTACACACTTCAAAGTATTCAGCAGTTCAGCAGCTAATCTGAGAAGGATCAGAGAAAGGAGTGTGAAAATTGAAATTCCAACTTTAAGGAGAAAAGAAGAGAAATCATGAATAACTAGGTACTTTATTAGGACACCTGTTTCTTTCAGCTTCATGCACTCCCATCTATAACATAAGCAAATTACAGCCAGCAACCAGTAATGCTATTGTTACTGATTTTCAAAAGCTAAGAGGTTTTTTTTGTGTTAAGCGAACAGATTATGCTTTTGTCACTGGGCCTCCAGTCTTCGATAAAAAAATCTGGTATTCATACACCTCAATGCCTGTTACACCTACTTTCTTTTACAGCCAATTCAAACTGGAAAGGCGTATCCGAATGACAGGTTAATGTTTTATCCTCTCTATTAAACGAAATGGAAAAGAGTCCAAAACCTTTTGCATGTCTGCAGATATCTGGGACCCCTGCAGTTCTCATCTAGATTTTGTTTCAAAAACCAAAACCAGAAGCACCACCTCCACAACGCCCTAACACCTTCCCACTGTTCAGAGTGTGTGTAGCTGTCTAGTCTGCACCAATATGAATTTCAGGCTGTGCCAGGCAGATCTGAACATATCAAACTTACCATTCAATTAAGAATTGAAGGAATGACATATTTTTTAAAACAAGAGTGGACTTACAGGGTAAAAGATAAAACAGTACCTGTTACATCAAGACCTTCCTGCTATCAACAGGTCAAATAAACCAGGGACATCTGCTGGGATTAGGGAAAAGAGGAATGGATTGTGTTTTTACTGAACAGAATTAATAACCACATCCTGCACTACGTCTAACAGGATGATTTAAAACCGTAAGAAATGCATTTTTGGTGACAGTACTCAGAGGCCAGTGAAGAAATGGGCCCTTCACAACAAACCCTGTATGGATTACACCCCTGCTTCAGAGACTGCAATCCAAGCTCACACCATGGATGAAGCTGAGGGAAGCATTGCATGTCAAAATAGATAAAACACATCCTAGCAGTAAACAGCATTTCCTCATTAAGATCTTTAAACTCCAAAAGGAGGTCAGAGACAGGTGTCTGGCTTTCACCTAGAGGAAATCACTCAGACATTTTTAGTACTTAACAGCAAAGGTCTATTTGCTTTCAGCAGAAAGACCAACTCTCCTCACCTGTCTGAAAGGAACTGCAGACTGTAATTTGGACAGCCTTTAAAAAGATCAGGTTACAATTATTAACCTTTTAAACTCACAAACAACAAGTCCTGTAAAATTTGGCCCTGCTCTCAGAAGCTATGCATGAGATAAATAAGAAGGGAAACACGGGCAGATCTAGTAATTCTCATTAATTGCAGGAAAATAACATATCCTGGAAGGAAGGAAACAGCCCAACATAAGCACAAAAATGGGGGAGGAATAGCAAACAGACATCACTTATTTCTGGGACACTCAGACTGCCTTCTAAAGCAAAGTATTTCCTCAGCTTTAACAAACAAGAAAAACCCCCAACACTGACTTGTTACTCAGCTTTCCACACTTGTGGAGTTGTCAGGGCTACTGAGGCAGACAGAAGGGTTTTGCACAGATCTTGTAGTAGTTCCACTTCCATTGAGAGAGGTCTCTGATTTTTGACACGAAGTCAGCTGCCTGGCACAAGTACCTTTGTATTATCACTAACATAAGGCCATTACAGAAGTAGCTGAATCATCAGAAAATATCAGCACATACACAGCACATTTCTTGGCTTAGTGTATGGTACAAACATACACAGTAGGCTCCAGTTTTTATTTTTCTTCCTGGCTCAGTCTTGCAACAGGTTTAATGTCTTAGCCCAATCCAGGGGAATACTTTAACCTCTCATTTAAAGCCTAAGGATGTGTTTAGCACTTTTGGAATTTAAACGTTTTGCTCCACTAGGTCAGCACGCTCAGTAACTAACACAATACAGTCCCGCTAAGCTGAACACTACATACCAATAATCACAGCAGAGATATTTTACTAGTCAGACAATTCAGGGGCTATTAATTTCCTCTGCATTTAGCTACAGCCTTTGGGAAGCCAAAGCTTCACAGCATCTTTCAGCCTCTCTGAATTAAGAAGCCAGGTATACCACACACATTCAGTACCTGCTCTCATGCAGAACATATCCATCAGATACAGCACACAACATCTGTCACAAAGGACACCAGCTTTCAGCGAGATTAAGAACTCCCAAATCCAACTGGGGGGATGGGAGGGATGCCATAACATTTTTTGCAGTTGTTAACAGAAAGCCTGTGTTGTTTCATACTAGGCATACATCTCCTATATTTGTATTTCTACATTATTTTGGAAAAAAGTGTTTCTAATGATGATTCAGTTCTTTTAGGAAAAAGAGTTGTTATTTAAATGGGATATTTTATTCCTCACCTTAGCCTGCAACATGCATTTCAACCTCCTTGACAAGCATCTTTTCCTGACAGATTCACATGCTAAAACTAAGACCTGTTTATTCTCACCTATGACCAAAGACACACACTGTTCCAGACTAGGACTCCTCAGCAACTACCTTAAAATTAGGTCATTTAGGCTTGAGGGTAGCATTGCTTGAATTTTCTGTACTGCAGTGTTAACATGCTAACACACTAATAATGCACTAGCACACTATAGTGGGGATGCCACTTCTGAGGCTTATTTTTTCCTATGCCATTGCCATAGGCATCCCTAAAACTGTCTATGCTCACAAAACTGACTTCAGTACCTCAAAACTACTTAGCTTCCCAAACTTTGCTGCAGGATCCTCTTGAGGAGTTCCACAACATCCTACAGTAAACTTAGACATCAAAAAAGTAAATGAGCAATACACTTGAAAGTTGTTTCTGCAGAATTACTTGGAAAAAAAAAAGTCACAGAAAGTGAACCAGAAAAAGTCTTAGGGGATGTGATTATTTTTCCTTGATAGACCTGGCATTCTGGATTCTTGTACGGTATTTCCTTCAAAAAGGAAAATCATCCTTACAAGGTAGGCAGAATGAATATAAAAATTGCCCAAGCAGAAAGAGTCATAGACCTTCCTCAGAGCAGAAAAAGAAAAGCACCCCAGGGACCCTTCCTCTCTCTTTGCAGGTTCTTTAAATTTAAAGAATTCTTGTCATTTGAGCTGGCCTGGGTTAGTATCCATATATCCAGAGAAGCTTAAGCAATCAAGTAACCAGATGAATCCAGAAAGCAGGCTGAAGAATGAAATAGTTGATTAAAATATAGTGGATACACTAAAAAGAAAAAAAAGGGTTTTTTTTAAAAAAATCAAGCTTTTCCCCAATCTTTTAATGCCCTGTCTGATTCTCTCACTTACTCCTCCCGGGCTGTAGTGCCAGGAAGACCTCTCAGCTGGAGGAGATGAGAACAAACCAGCCCCTCGCTGAGACCTGGTAACAACTAAATCACCTGACATAGTTTATTGCTAAATGCCTGTAAAGAAAACAAAGGGAACAGAATGTGCAAAGTGTTAACTTTGCTAGACATAATTCTAGTAACTTAAAAGCCGTGTCAAGTGCAGGGAGTCAATATTTGCTCAGGGTTGTCTCTCGTGTTACCCAGGTAACCACATTTAGAGCTTCTCCAAAGTTGGGACTGTACCTAAGGAAATGTGAAAAGTCAACGAACAGCCTTAGTTCTACCTGCCCTCCGTACATCCGAACCCTGCCAGTTCATCCAACAGCGACCGGACTAGTTTGCTTATCGCAGGACATGCTCCTGGTTTCTGACCCCCGCGCAAACGCTACACTGACTTCTAGCAAAGCCGTTACACGCCCGGTCTGTGCATCTTTCAGCTCCACACTCTGCCCGGGAACAGGATCGAACTGGACTCCAACTTCAATGTTTATCTGTCACAAAAGCAGCAAAGCTGTTTCTCCAGATCCTAAGATATGCTGATTTTTTGCAGTTTAACACCAGCATCCTCTTTTAGCATTTAATGCAGTGACTCATCAACACCCCGGCTCCGTTAAAGCTACCGAGAAGCCGCAGGCAGGTATTTTTAGGTAGCAGTTTCACAGGTCTGGCTTTGAACAAGACTCGATCAAAAAGCAGAGCACAGGGAAGAGCTCTGTGCAAACTGCTCCTTGGAGACTTGCTGAAGAAGAGTTTTCCAGCACTCAGCCTCAGCCCGGGCAGTTCAACAGCCCGTCCCCCGCCGGCCGGTACCCGGGGCGGAGAGCGAGAGGGAGGAGGGAAAGGAACAAAGTGGACCCAACCTTCGTCCGCAAGGTCAGGTGGATGTCTGCTGCCAGATCCCATTGCCAGCACAGCTCCTCCATCCTTTTTCCTGCCATCCAGACAAAGGTCTGGGAAGAAGAACAAACCGGACAAGTCGCCCGAAGCCCCGCAGCACCGGCAACC